GCACTGCTCTACAGGGGAAATAGCAGAAGAAGGGGAGAACGAGGGGGATGACATGGGGGCTCCACCCGTCAGCGACAGCCGGAGGCGACAAGCGAGGCGTGTCGCGACGCGACGCGGGCGTGGGCCGTTGTTGGGCCGCGCGGGCGCGGGTGCAGGGGGACGGCGTGGGCTGGCTAGGCCGCTCGGCTGGGCCGGCTGGTAGCGCTGGGCCACTTTGGCCTTTTCCTTTTTCTCCCATTTTCTAAACCCTTTTCTATTTTCTATTTCCCATTTCCCATTCTATGCTATACCTTGGGCTCTTATGCATGTATACATGTGTAGCATGTACACATCCTTATGTGGTCCACTAGGGGTCAACTAGGGTATTAGGATCAATGTCAAGGGTTGGCAACACACATACAAGTTTATTAAAACGTTGAGTTGATTTTATTACATCACATAAAATCATGAAGAAGCAATTCACAAGTTGAATTAAAATACAAAATGCTCAAACAAGCTAGCTTGGGATATACTGGTGCAACTACATGGGTGGTTTTCTAGTATGCACATTCACCATGCATGGGTTTTGTTAGAAAAAATTTTAAGTTCGAATTTTTGGTCATTTGGAAAACTGGGTTGTTAAAAAAGATCTGATTTTTCCCCAAGATATTCTAATCAAATGTGTATACGTGTTTTAGAAAACTTTCCAGTGATAAAATGTATGAGGCGCAACCAACACAAATGCATACTCCCTCCGTCCCAAAATAAGAGACGTTTTGACTTTCAGACATCTTGTTTGACTGTTCGTCTTATTCAATTTTTTTGTGTAAATTATAAAATAAATAAATCATTATTAAAGTATTTCTAATGATAAAATAAGTCATAATGAATGATATTTATATAAAATTTTTGAATAAGACGGACGACGGACGGTGAAACGAGAAGCTCGAAAAGTAAAAAATGTCACTTATTTTAGCTCGAAAAGAATGCGATTATGGGATCAGTGCCGGTCAAAGTAGCTAAAGTTTAACCAAGTTTATAGCAAATAGTATTAATAGTTATGTCTCTAAATAAATTTATTATAAAAATATATTCTATGACTAATCTAATGATACTAATTTTGCATAAAGAAAATGTTAGTATTTTTTATATAATTTTGATCAAAGTTCAAACTGATTGACTTGCCGAGAAACGAATTGCATTCTTTTTTAACGCTGAATGCAATCATGCTCGTTATGTCTCTTTTTTTTTCATTGGGCTCGTCAACTGAGGCAGGAACTAACTCAAAAAAAAAAAAAAAACTGCGGCAGCAACTGCCCAACAAGTGTCCGTGTTTGGGCCGTATGGATAGCAGAAGAAGCAAACGAATGGAGGCCCAGACCAACTAGTTAGGGTAACTAAACAACGCCCGGCAACCCCCAACGCCAACGGTTCTCTCCCCAATCGGCGGAACGGAAGGGAAGGATCGCAACCAATTCGATTCAATTTCAAATCCAAATCGCAAGGCCTGACGAGTGACGACTCCTCCTTCCTCTCTCCTCTACCCGGAAGCCTGCCCGCATCGGATCGCATCGCATCGCCCCGGAGCCTGCCGCCGTGCCGTCACCGAAGCCATGGGACCCACGCCGCCGCCGCCGCACACGGAGGATACTAGGGTTACGCAGCTCCCACTCCCCGGCGGCGCCGAGGAGTACGTGCGCGACTCCATCCACGCTTCCCTGGGTCTCCCCGTCTCCGATCGCTCCCTCCGCCTCAAGCTCCTCGCCTCCGAGGACCAGCGCCACCGCCTCCAGGACCACGTCTTCTCGCTCGAGGAGGACCTCCGCGCAGCCCAGCGCCGCATCGACCTCCTCAAGGTACACAAGTCACAACGGACTCTCTCTCTCTCTCTCTCTCTCTCTCTCTCTGCTCTCCCCCGTTCGATCTTGATTCGTCATCCACTTCCTCTCCTTCCCCAGGCCGAGGCCGCCATGAACGCCACCGGCCTCCGCCGCTGCGTCGAGGAAAAGGAGGCCATGGCCGCCGCGTACGCCGACCTCTCCGAAAAGAGCAGCAAGGAGTGCCGGCTCTACGAGCGGGACCTCGAGCGCGCCATGGAGTCCTGCGACGACCTCGCCAGGGAGAACGACGACCTCCGCGCACGCCGAAACCAGAACGCAGATGTCAGTTTCCTCCTCTCTCTTTTTTCCCTTCCTGATTCCTGATTCCTGATTTCCTAACTACTGGTGCTCTGCTTAAGATCCGTGCTTTCCACTGTCTGGTGGTATTCAAAATAGATATACATGAAACCACAAGTTTTGCCTTGTGCGGAGATTAAATTTACATCACAAATCCAATCCATTCAAATCACACTAGTATCTACTGTAATTTCGTCTGGTGGTATTCAAAATAGATATAGATGGAACCGCGAGTTTGGCCTTGTATGGAGCTTACTTTTACATTACAAATCCAATCCAATCACACTAGTATCTCTGTAATTTCGTCTTTGGGTAGGGGTTTCGGTTTAGGTTTCTATAAACAGGGATGTTCTTAATCCTCCAAAGGTGTCATTAAATGGGTAATGTAATACGCCAACATCAGATGATTTTTTTTTATTTCCTAGATTAGATTCCTCTCACCAGTACTATTATTATGTGTTGCCTTTGGCTTTGACATGATCAATGCCAACACATTATGCAGTTGGCAGCATTGATGGCTCAAGTGCAAGAACTACAGAAGGAAAAGGAGATTCTGAAGATGAATCTTGATACAGCGGAGGCGGAGGTATATCAAAAGCACTCATGTCCTTGAGATTCTTGTGTTTTTACATGACTGGTTAGCTATTGATAACAGGCAAATCAATTGTTTTCTTGATTGCTGTCCTTGAAGGTCGTCACGCTGAGTGAGGACAACAGGGCTCTTGATGAAGAGATCAAAAGGCTACTGGGTTTGCTGGAGAAGGAGCGACAGCGCGGGTCCGAAAGAAAGAAATCTGCCAGTACATCCACCAAGGTAAATTGATAAATTCTGTCGCGGGCTAAGAGGAAGCAAAGTGTGATGGGATGATGTGATGAATGATTTTTGTTGCAGAACAAGCGTAAGTCGTCTAGCTTGAGGGATGGCAGCCCCGCTGGCCGAGCTCTTGATTTTGGCTGTGCAGATTCTTCAAGGCATCCACTGTCCCCATTGCCCCACAACTCCCCAGACTACAGGGCGCACAAGAAGTGAAGGCAACAACCAACAAACCAACCAACTGTTCAGAGCATTTCCGGATTAACTTGTGCGCAACGTGAGTGTTGCATCGTGCCGCTGATGATCTGATTCAAATCTGGTCCCCTGCTAATTTTCTATCTTTCCTGTTTTCGGTAGCTGTGATGTTTTTAGACTAGGAGCAAGTTTATCCTGCTTCACTTGCATTCTATTCCATTGGCTAGAGGTTGCTGTTGTGTTTGTGATGGTTCTGGAGGAAATGAAAAGGCCTATGGTCTGCTTATGGCTTGATGTATCATGTATGATATGAAAGCAGCTTCTCCATTTCACTTGGAGCGAACATGGTTCACTTAAATGCTGCAACTCTACTTTTTGGGAAGAAAAGAAAACGCTGGTGGGTGGAAGTGGAATATAGCAATGGTTCTTATCGTATACTATATCATATATTAGTATAGAGTATGAAAATCAGAGAATGGAGAGAGAACAATCTGGCATGTGAGAAATTGTTTGCAAGGCCTTGACTGGGGCACTGTAATTCGTGTGACGATTTGTTGTGTCAGAAGTTGCTGTACCCTTTCTTGAGCTGAGCTGTGCTAGTAGTAATTTAATTGATTTCAAAGATTGATCTATAATCCTAGATGATGGATTAAATCTCTTGTGCTTGCCTCCTCTAACTCTCCCAAATGGTTCTTGTGCTTGCCTCCTCTTCCTCTCCAAAATGGAAATCTTTGCCTAAGCACTGATGGTTGTTGTCTAATAGACTTAGCATCTTAATAGTCATAACACGGGACACAGAGCGAGCAAGACGAACCAAACAGTATTAAGGTATGTTTTAATACACATGGTTAGTTGTCTAAAATAGTTGTGGATGGCTAACAACTAGTTGAAGGCTTATCTAAATAATTAGACTAATTTTTAGCTAGCCAGTGATTATCCCTTATCTAAATAGGCCCTAACCCTCATGTCTAAATACGCCGGAGCTAATGTTGACTAATGTTTAGGAGTAGCTGCTCCCTCCATGTCCCTAAAGAAAGTTGTTTTGGACATCGACACGGTCTCCAAAAACAACTTTGACCGCTATTTTTTTGCTATAAAATATTTATAAAACATGGTCAATATATAATTTTATAAAACTACATCTCGAAATGAATTTATTTACATCACTTTTATATTTTCAAACTCAATCCAAAAGAATTTATTTATAGTTAAAGTTTAAAATGTTTGACTTAACAACCTCAAAACGACTTTCTTTAGGGACATGGAGGGAGTAGCTAGCACTTAACCCTTATCCAAACATGCCCTTATTCTCTTGTGTTTTTTCTTCGAAAAATTATAGTAGTTTGGAAAAAATGAAAAAAAACACGAATCTTAATGCAACACAGACTAGACCAGGGTTCAAAAATTCGGCGAAATTTCAGGTGAATTTTGCGAAATTCGGTAATTTCGATGGTGGCCGAAAGAATCTTTTTTTGAAATTTTGTAATACACTAATACACGTGCTATATAACTCTAGACTCATCTTTTTCTATTGTTTATATTGCTTATTCTTCTATTCAATAGATGTGTAGTTATAAATAAATTATACTAACATTTGTTTAGATCTATTTTTTAGAAAAAAGCATATGAATATGCTAGTTTCAATTAAAATTTCGCCGAAATTGTGGCTGAATTTCGTGAAATTCGGTAATTTTGGTGGTGATCCAAATTTTTGCAATATACCGAAATTAAAAATCTTGGACCAGACAGCACTTGCTCCGGCAGACCTCCTTCGTTCTCCCGCTCCAATCCTATCGATCCGCCTCCGCCGCATTCCTCAAAGCAAACCCTAGCCAATGGACGCCGCCGCCGCCGTTCACAAGCGCAAGCGACCCGATGAGTCCGACCCCGGCCCCGGGGAGCTCGACCTCTCCGCCGCCGACGCCGTCGAGGTGCTCGACCTCCGCGCCGCCAAACGCCTCCTGCTGGCCTTCGAGCGCCGCCTCCGAGACAACCTCGAGGCGCGCATGAAGTACCCCGACGACCCCGCCCGCTTCGCCGACTCGGAGATCGCGCTCCACGCCGAGACCGACCGCCTCCGCCTCCTTGCCGGCGCGCCCGAGCTCTTCCCCGACCTCGTCCCCATCGGCCTCGCCTCCTCCCTTGCCTCCCTCCTCACCCACGACAATGTCGACCTCGCAGCCGCCGCCGCATCCCTCCTCGCCGACCTCACCGACTCCGAGGACCCCTCCGACCTCGCCGCCGTCCAGGCCCTCGCCGACGCGCTCGTCGACGCCAACGCGCTCGACCTCCTCGTCCACAACCTCTCCCGCTTCTCCGAGACCGACTCCGACGAGGCTGAGGCCGTCCACAACACCCTCGCCGTCCTCGAGAACCTCCTCGACCTCCGCCCCAACCTCGCCGACAAAGTCTGCGACGGAACCAAGCTCCTACGATGGCTCCTCTCGCGCCTCAAGGCACGCGAGTTCGACGCCAACAAGCAGTACGCCTCCGAGATCCTCGCCATCCTCCTGCAGAACAGCCCCGCCAATCAGAAGCGCCTCGGTCAGATCAACGGAGTCGACGCCCTGCTTCAGGCGGTTGCTATGTACAAATCCAGGGACCCAAAGACCTCCGACGAGGAGGAGATGCTCGAGAACCTCTTCGACTGTCTCTGCTGCGTGCTCATGCCCCTGGAGAACAAGGAGAGGTTTGTCAAGGCTGAAGGCGTTGAGCTCATGATCATCATTATGAAACAGAAGAAGCTGGCATACAGCTCCGCGATCCGCACGCTCGATTTTGCCATGACCAAGTTCCCACCTGCGTGCGAGCGTTTTGTTGATGTGCTTGGCCTTAAGACTGCTTTTGCGGCCTTCATGGGTAAGGTAAGTAAACCTTCCTCCTTACCCTTTCCCCAGTCTCTTCTGACATTTCAGATGATCAGTATATTCATTCCATTTACTCTCCTATGCTATGTGCTATGTAATAGGCCTAACTTCATCGGCCACTTATTAATCTATCTGCTTCCTGAAATGAGTCTGTTATTAACTTCAAATTCTGCCACAGATTCCTGTGAACAAGAAAAACAAGAAAGAGAGTTATCAGGAGGAGCTAGAAGAGCGTATCATTTCACTTATTGCTTCATTGTTTGGTAAGCAGGCAAGTCCACTCTAGTGTGTGTCACTTCATATTATTATTCTGTGTTGACCAGATGTGTTCTCCATGGTAATTTTTATTCTAAATCCCGTTGCTGCATATACGAGCCTGACTTTGAAGAATGAACATCAATGTATTTATTCTTTTTCTATCAGTTGAAAAATCCCTAGGTATTCTACAAATATGTTAGTCAAACAAACTAATTTCGTAGGGGAAACTGTGGATTACCCTGTATAGAAATATTTGGGCTCAATACCTTATGGTAATTAACTAGAAAGCCAGCAATGGCAAAGTGAATACCATTAGGGGCATATGCTCTCGTGCCTTCAAACTTCAGATGCACATTGAGATTCATGCAATATAGGAATTTTAGAAACATTTTTTTGTTTATCTTTTGCAGTGCACGAATCTCAATGCACATAACGGTGTAAACAACAAGAGCACATGTCCTTACAACAACAACAACAACAACAAAGCCTTTAAGTCCCAAACAAGTTGGGGTAGGCTAGAGTTGAAACCCAGCAGAAGCAATCAAGGTTCAGCCACGTGAATAGCTGTTTTCCAAGCGCTCCTATCTAAGGCTAAGTCTTTGGGTATATTCCATCCTTTCAAGTCCTTTTATTGCCTCTACCCAAGTCAACTTCGGTCTTCCTCTGCCTCTCTTCACGTTACTATCCTGGTTTAGGATTCTACTACGCACCGGTGCCTCTGGAGGTCTCCGTTGGACATGTCCAAACCATCTCAACCGGTGTTAGACAAGCTTTTCTTCAATTGGTGCTACCCCTAATCTATCACGTATATCATCGTTATATCGATCCTTTCTTGTATGACCGCAAACTCGATCCTTTCTTGTATGACTCGCTGAAATCCAAGGCCAATATTCGCGCACATACAACATTTCTAATCGACGTCTTATAAAACTTGCCTTTTAGCTTCGTGGTACTGTCGTTCTCTAAAGCAAGTCGTTTTGAGGTTGTCTTAAGTCAAATATTTTTAAACTTTGACTACAAATAACTTCTTTTGGGTTGAGTTTGAAAATATGAAAGTGATGTAAGTAGATTCATCTCGAAATGTAGTTTCATAAAAGTATATATTTAAACTTTTATTTATAGCTTCAAAGTCGGTACCCTTTTGTCACATATGACAGGGAGTACCCTTTTGTCACATATGACACCAGATGCTTGGCGCCACTTCATCCATCCTGCTTTGATTCTATGGCTAACATCTTCATCAATATCCCCGTCTCTCTGTAGCATTGATCCTAAATATCGAAAAGTATCCTTCCTAGGCACTACTTGACCTTCCAAATTAATATCTTCCTCCTCTCGAGTAGTAGTGCCGAAGTCACATCTCATATACTCAGTTTTAGTTCTACTGAGTCTAAAATCTTTGGACTCCAAAGTCTCCCGCCATAACTCCAGTTTTTGATTCACTCCTGTCCAGCTTTCATCAACTAGCATTACATCGTCCACGAAAAGCATACATCAAGGGATGTCCCCTTGTATGTCCCTTGTGACCTCATCCATCACTAAGGCAAACAGATAAGAGTTCAAAGCTGACCCTTGATGTAGTCCTATCCTAATCGGGAAGTTATCCGTGTCTCCATCACTTGTTCGAACACTAGTCACAACATTGTTGTACATGTCCTTAATGAGCCCGACGTACTTCGTTGGGACTTTATGTTTGTCCAATGCCCACCACATAACATTCCTTGGTATTTTATCATAAGCCTTCTCCAAGTCAATAAAAACCATGTGTAAGTCCTTCTTCTCCTCCCTATACCGCTCCATAACTTATCTTATTAAGAAAATAGCTTCCATGGTTGACCTTCCGGGCATGAAACCAAATTGGTTCATAGAGACCCGCGTTATTGCTCTCAAGCGATGCTCGATAACTCTCTCCCTTAAGGCAATAAAACTGCCTTCAGCTGCTCATCATGTAAGAGCTTTAAGTTAACTGTATATATTGATTTCACCAAGTAATACATGATACCTGTGTAACAGTATCTTCAGGAAGAATCCATTGCACATGTGGATCCAATAGTTTCTCAAATAATTGATAGAATGCCACAATTATGCTTGCATGACATGTGATAGCTTCTCACAAGTTCAGTTGCTCATCATGTAAGACCAACCCAACATCTCTTTGGTCCATACTGTATTTTAGTAGTACCTGGCTGCGATTAAGTGCTTTCTTTCTGTGATTCAGTTGTTTTATGTATTTTGTCATGTTTGGTTATTTTATACCTGTCTTTAGGTGGTATTACCAAAGGCTCACGAAGGATGAGGCTACTAGGAAAATTTGTTGAGAATGAATGTGAAAAGATAGACCGTCTGATGGAGTTCTACACAAGGTATATCTGCTGTGGAGAAAGAGGATTGCCTTACCTTTTCGGCTACTTCATTTCTTGATTGCATGGTCACTTGTGTTGTACAGGTATTCGGACAGAGTGAAAGAAGAGACTGAAAGACTTGATAGCCTTGATTTGGAAGATTTAGAGGTGCCTTTTTTATGCCTTGTTTCTTTGATCTCCATCTCCAATTCGAGCAAACAATGAATTTTTTGAACATGTTCCTATTTCTCCCAGATGGACGATGATGAGCGGTATAACCGAAAACTTGAAGCTGGGCTTTACACACTGCAGGTATTGGCATAATGAATTTGTAGTGTTGTATCCGATATAGTTTTCTCAGCCAGTGTTGGTTTGGGTTCTTGTTTACCTTACGATGTTTCTGAACTAAGTCTGTATGTTTCAGTTAATTGCGCTTATTCTGGGACACATCTGGCACTCTGGGTTAGTAATATTTGTTTTGTTTTCTGTGTTACCTCGCTTTGTCGTGCATAGTTGGATTTCAATTCTGAAGTCATCGTCTTTCTTTTGGCACGTCACTGATTTTCAGAAATTCCCAGATGAGAGCAAGAGTAGAATTGCTTCTTAAACAAAACAAACTTACGAAGCAAGATGTGAAGGACATACTTGAGGTGTACCATTCATCTCCATATGTTTGCCGATTTAGTTTGCTTCCGCTTTAGTTTGATTGGTGCTGCTGCTGCTCTGTAGTATTATCTACTATTATGTATGGTCCATAATTTGTATTGTTGTTGACCTTTTCTATGTGTCTTGGTGGTAACCCCGGTGAGAGGGGATGGCATTAAGAGCAATGACTATGATGGAGGTGTAACATCTATTGGTTTTGCATTGCAGGAGTATCATGACAACATTGGGGACTTGGATGGACCTGAAGAGAAGGAAAGAGCACAAGCGCGGACCAAGGAAATTATTGCGGCGTTGTGATGTGCAAGGTGGCCTGGGGTGTAGTTGGTTGTGGAGCAAGACTAAGTCTGGTAGATATTTTGCAAGGGTTTTAGGAGAAGACTATGCTGAGCGATTTTATATTGCAGTCAGCAAGTGTAACTTACTACTCGGTTGTAGATGATGGATGGCAGAAACAAGAGGGCAGTGCTTGCTTCTATGTACTCCCTCCATTTCAAATTATAAGTCGTTCCAGCTTTTCTAGATACGTAGCTTATTATAAGTCGTTCCAGCTTTTCTAGATACGTAGCTTTTGGAATGGAGGGAGTAGCGCAGTATTCAGTTCTGTTGTATTCTATTCTTGTGTAGACTAGCTAGTTATTTGCTCACGGGCTGTTCTGCATTTGTAGTCGGGAACAAAGGAAAACATTGTGAGAGGAAATGCAAGGCACACTGTTTGCTATGGATATATGCTATTCGTAGGATTTGGATATGGCAGTTCTGAGAAACTGTCATGTATTCACCATGTTTTTTGGGCTTGTTTGGCTTATAAGTTGTATTTTTTCAGTCAACGAGCATTATTTTTCTCTCACATTAAATAAGTCCAACAGTACTTTCGTTCATGGTTTATGAGTTAAACAAGCCTAAGCAAGCAGAGTGATTGTTGGTGGTGATGACTGGCCTTTTCTTGTTCTAGAAAAAAGGCTTGTCCATGCTAAGGTTCTTTGTACACGGAGTTTTCGCTCATTTTGAACTAAATGATGAATAACAATGAACGATTATATTTAGGGATGAAAGTGGACTATCCCGCGAACCCATATATAGGCTTAATTCGCTTAATCTTGTGGCTTCCCGGAACCCACAAAATTAAGTCTGGATGCAGGTTAGCACATTTGCATCCCTAGTTATATCGCGTCAATGAACATAGAAATATGAATTACTGCCATTCCACAACATTTTTGTTTCGCTTTGAACTATTTTTTTTTTCATTTCTTGGTTAGTTGGGTTTTTTTTTAATCTTTATTATCTTTTGGTTTGTTTGCTTGGGGTGCCTATGAAGCCGAAAGAGCAGAAGCGCGGCTTGTTGACGTCTCCAGCCTAGCGCGCCACGCCATCATGTATTATCCTCAGCCTGCCGTCTCCGTGGCGGCGGCGGCGGCGGCGGCGGTTGCCCTCCGCCCCTCGCTCCTCGCCCTCCGCAGCCACTCCCACTCCCATTCCCCAAGGGCGTCATCCCTTCTCCACTGCCGCCGCTCCTCCACGCCGCCTCCATGGCTTAGGACTAGGAGGAGGACGCCCATCGCCGCCGTCTCCGACGACTTCTTCACCGTCGACTTGGACGCTGATGAATTGGAATCGGAACCGGAATCGGATTCCGGCGACGACGGGCTCGTCTCACCATGGGAGGGCGCGCTCGTCTACCGCCGCGACGCCGCTGTCCACCACCTCGAGTACGCCACCACGCTGGAGCGCCTCGGCCTCGGGGACCTCTCCTCCCCCGACTCCCGCGCGCGCGCCGCCAACCTGGGGCTGGGGCTGGCTGGAGGGGGACAGGACAGCACTGCCGCTCAGTCTCAGACCCCCGTCCTCGTCTCCCTCGACGTCACCAGGCGCCGCGGCCGCCTGCGCCTGGACGGCATCGTGCGCACCGTCATCACCCTCGGCTGCTTCAGGTGCCGTGCCATCAGTCTCAAACTCTTCCTTGTTCGCCACACAAGACTACTCTACTGTACTCTACCTACCTGTGCTTTGCAAATTGCAATCACTCTCTATGTATCTAGTTGATGAATGCCACCCACACTACTTTCCCATTTAGTAATTTCCTATCTACAAATTATAAAATATGCTCCAATCCTGTCCTGTGAGAATAAAACAATCCCTTTGTCATACCATGGCCTAACTTCACGTCACATTTTCCCAACACACAACAAACAACCTGCCCTGCCTTTCAGGGAAACAAAGTACTCACTCAATCCTCCGTCCCAGAAAGGGTACAATTCTTCTCTTTTTTTTTTTTGTAGTAATAAAAGTTTAGCTCCCCAACAGAGGCAGCAAATCATCATACTAGTGTTTAAGCTGCAAATGTCATGCATTTGTCAAAATATATGAGAAGCAGACAGAGTGAAATGTTTTATCATGGTCATCGCATCTGTTTGTTTTACACTTCTAAGTACACACAAGCCACACTGACACTGAATCATATGCACCCCCAGTGGTAACCACTAACTAACATAAGATATCATGCTTGGCTCTCTTCTTTCCTCAGGTGTGCTGAGCCAGCTCCTGAAGGCATATTTGCGAATTTTTCCCTGTTGTTGACAGAAGACCCAGTAGAGGAACCAGACGTAGTTGACCTCGGCACGATTTTTGAAGAGGACATCGCTAAGGGTGCTTCGCTAGCTGGCGCCATGGATGACGAAGACGATGACCAAGATATCGACTGGGATGACCGGCTGCACTTCCCAGCCGCTGACAAGGAAATCGATATATCCAAGCACATCCGGGACATCATTCACCTGGAGATCACGTTGGATGCAGTCTGCAGCCCCAATTGCAAGGGCCTATGCCTTACCTGCGGCGCAAGCCTTAACACCAGCAGCTGCACATGCAGCAAAGACAAGCCGAAGGAGCCCAAGGACGTCAAGGGACGAGGGCCTCTCAAAGAGTTGTTGAAACCCATGCAAAAAAGATGATGCAGATACCACAAAGTTTGTAGAACTAGCGCCACCTCGCCAACTTCATCCCATGCTATGGAGTATATATACTCACTCCCAGTCAGTGTTGTTGGAGTTGAAATGGAGACATGAAGTTTTTCCTTTCCCACTGTTCAATGCCACTACATATGAGATACTTCTAGGATCTTTGAAGTATAGGAAGGCATCCATGCCTACCAGCAAAGATATCGAATAACTGTACATCTGGAGACAAGGGTGTAGAATGAATGTATTGTAGATGTATTCTCTACCAGCAATATATTTTCATCTTACGCATCAATCAAAAAAGCAAATACAGATACAGTATGAAATCTGTTAGGTCTCATGTCAACTAAAAATACAACACAGCACGTGCAGGAGCCTACTCTAGAGAGGAGCCCCGGCACATTTGCCTGAGTACAGACAGACATGTCGGTGGCTGCCTCTCCTTGGTTTGGATGTTACAACAAGCGAGCTCTCCGATGAAGGAGCTCATTTTCTCAACAATGTCCATTCTTCTATCTCTGTTCTCCCAACTATATATTAGTCTATGTCTTTTGCGCAGTGAACTAAAAAGTACCTCGCGCCAAAAGAGATGAACACCTTGTGAGAACCACTGACACCTCTTCTTGTTGCTTGGGCCTCCTCCTACAACAACCTGCTTATCAGGAGATCATCACGCTCACTTTTCGCGCGAAGTCATCGTCCTCATCCTCTAGATCGTCGTCGTCTTGGCACTCCTGGTAGTCATTATCCTCCTCAGCGTTGATGTCCGCCGCCTCATAGTCATAGTCTTCCGCTGCTGCCTCTCCGTCTTGATGCTCCTCCAGCTCTTGGGCAGCTCCAGCTTCATCGTCATAGTCTTCTGCTGCTGCCCCTGCGTCTTGATACTCGTCCAGCTCTTGGGCCACTGCAGCTTCATCGGCGTTGTCTTCTGCTGCCGCCTCTGCATCTTGATACTCGTCCAGCTCTTGGGCCGCTGCAGCTTCATCGGCATTGTCGTCGTACGCCACATCATCTTCAGGATGGAAGGCTTCCTCTTCCTCCTCTTCTTCTCCAATGCCCTCCATGTTCTCCCCAACCGTGTCATTTGCCACAGTTTGGAATTCTTCTTCCGCTCCTGCAGTGTAGTTATCTGCTTCCTGTATGATGCCAGGCTGGGCAGTGGAGATTTCAGAAGCCGCCTCTCTTTTTCTCTTCAGTATGGCACTCAGGGGCTTTGGACCTTCAAAAGGAGCAGCTTCCCTGCTCGAAACTATTTCTGAAGTCACACGAGAAGAGCCTAAGCCCTTGACGATGGCATCTTCTCCTGACCTGCCAACACCTTTCTTTGCCTTCAACTCTGCAAGGCTCTTTGGACCAGCAAAGTTCAGTGATTCAGTATCCTCACTGCTATTTTCCTTCACCGCCAAATCTTTTGCACTGTTACCCGGTATCTCCTCAGCTGATCTATCTTTTGCACTGTTACCCGGTATCTCCTCAGCTGATCTAGCCTTTAGCCTTTCATGAAGCCTCCCTCGAAGGTCTGAGGGTTTTGGTGGTGACAATCTGGCTCTAGAACCTCTATCCCACTCCTCTGAACGTGACCCAAGCCTGTCAAACGATGTCTCCCCAGGTAGCCTTATTCTATCACGCAGTCGAGACCTTGAGAGGCCATCCTGCTGTTCACCTCGCCGACGATGTTGGTCATGGCGCTCATCCTCAAGATGAGTGTCATGCCTACCAGGGGCTTCAGTTGATCCTGAATTATTATTGAGCTTTCTTTGTTTCAGTAGCCTATGGCGCAGATCCGAACTACCGGCAGCCACAGCGGGCATATGTTCTCTCTGGGAAATCCTTTTCTCTGATGAAGACCTCTCTGCCGAATTTCTGTATGGCCTTTCTGATTCATATCCACCATGTGTTTGCCTCGTCATCCCTCCAGTACCATTAGCACGATGGTTGTAAGCGGTATGGTTTCCCTTGAATGACTGTTGAGCGTCGTCGTCAGCAGCACCGACAATCACGCCAGAACCAGCGGATGGTTCTCTCACAAATTCACCCGCCTCCGTACCGTTGTCAGTTAAGCCATCCTGGACTGAAGGCTGAGGCTGGTAACGCTTTGGTGCACCAGGCTGTGCATAAGAATTACTGTGATTCTGATAAACTCTTGATGGATGATCAGCCCTACTCGTCGTCAGACTTTGCTTGTGATGAAGCAGTTTACCATCATGAGCGCTGGCCTTTGGCTTGTCAACTACGCCTACCGCAGGCGTGCTCTGTTGGGACGAAGAGTTGGGTTTTGTCCAGGAGTTCTTCAACGGAGGATGAAGATTAGGCTGCAAGGCAGGGGTGAAGACCTTGGCCGGCGGCTGTGGAGCAGGGTTTCCTGCAGACTGGGGCGCATGCAGGAAGGTACACCTGTCCCCTTTTGTGCACATGCCCTTCTGAAAGTAATAACATGGAACACCCTGCTTGGCAATGGCAGGAACAGATCCATGGGGTTGAGCTGGAACAGAAGCTGAAGCTTGGGGTACAGACTGTTGAGCTGGACGTGGAGTTGTTGGTGCTCCGGCCAGGTTGTCTAATGGCTGGAAAAAAAAAACACGAGTAGAGTAAAGCAAAGCATCATGCTTGTGTTACTTAGAATGTACTGTAATAATCATGGCATTAATTTGTGTTTGGATGTGTAGAGGGCGGAGGGTGGACGGAGGGCGCACCGGGTGCCTGAAGGAGCATTTAGGATTGGCGCAGTTGCCATGGAACCAATACCAGCAGTCCCTGGGATTCATCCTGGCAGCATCGCTGTGACGGTACTCGCATTCACTTCCCTGCATGCAGTGCAGGAGATTATGATTCCAACATGTGAGCGAGGTGAGTCCAACTCAAGCTCAACTAACTAAGTGTAACCTACTGTATGTAGAAATTAAAAATTACAGTGACATGGATATGGATCTGGAAATGATGCAGCAGGGGTATGTATTATCAGGTGATGGTAGAAGATGGAATAAAGCTTGAACGTTGAAAGGAACGATCTATGTTATGCATGCGGCCTTGGAAGCGAAGAGTAAGCAACGGATTAAAGAGATCTATAGTAGGAGATTCGGAAAGGCCGAAGAAAAGTAAGGTGGTGATCCAGATCGAAGGGTAGGGTAGGCTAGGTCGCGTACATGCATGCATCTAGAGGAGGCGAAGAGAGATGCCATGGCATCTATAAGACTATAATTGAAGGGAGCGAGCAACATGTATGGCAGAAGAATCCAAGAAAGAGCAAATTAACCTTTGTTGCAGTAGTAAGTAAGAAGAAGAAGAAGAAGGTACCTTTTTGCAGGTCAACGGGGAGGCGAGGAAGTAGATGCAGTCGGTGCTCCGGCGGCGGCGTGCCTCCTCCTCGTCGGGCCGCGCGGCGGCGGAATCCATAGCTGAAGCCAGGGTTGGAGGCAGGCAAAGAGCTAGGCAACGGCGGCGGCGGCAAGATTTATTAGCCTGAAGTGTAGAGGAGGAGGCGGAGGAGCAGAGCAGGCCCCGAGTGAGTATTTGGCGATCGATGCGCTTTGTTTGGGGGGTGCCTTGTTTGGGATGGGATGGATCTGTTTGGGTTGTTTGTGGTTGTGGTTGTGGTTGCGAGCTCTCAGCTCAGCAGCCCAGAGGAGAGGAGAGCTTACTGTATTTCTTTTCTTGAGCATCAGCAGCTTCCTCCTAGACAGCTCTCAGCAGTCTGTATTTCTTTTGTTGCGCCCTCTTTGTTTGATTTTATTTGACTGATAAACTATGACTAAAAATATTATTTATTAATTTGATATAAAAAAAAATATTATTCGTTAACTAACAGGCCATAGTTTATAAATTAAATACGGTCAAGCGAACAAGTGACCAGGGAAGACGAGGGGCTCAGGTTCCCAATCTGCTAGCTACTGGCGTACGAGTACTCCTAGCCAAGCCAAGCCAAAGCTCCCTCACTCCGTGCTCCCTCCTCTGCTCTGCTCTGCAGCTCAACTAAAGTGCCGTGTCGTTTTGTGTGGTCGTAGATAGATGATGGCTAGGAGTAAAAAGTAGTAGATCTGGCACTGCCACCTCTGTGTCCGTGTAATCCTGCTCTTCTCTCCTATTATGTGAAAAGAAAGTTTCCTTCATTTTGGTTTGGTTGGATCATACTACTCGTAGTAGAAACTGTGCACAGATTCTAGTACGTACGTACCACGCACCATGTTTTCGCCCCTGCTCTGCTTCAGTTGGGTGCATGGGAGTGAGTGCCAGAATGAACATGAACCAGATGACAAGAGATGAAATGAAACATTCCATGTGCACACGTATGCACACCACTATGGCCCTGCGCGCGCGCACACACACACGGCACACCATGTTTTCTTTGGTTGCTCGCCCAATTTTACTATACGCCCCAGTCCAACCATATATATGTTTTCTTATACAAGAGAGGAAAAAACGAACCCAAACCATTGCACGCCAAGTTTCACGCAGCAGCCATCGCAAGAAAAGATGACTTCCTTTAATGATTCTGTTTATTTATGGAGAAACAAGCTCCGCAATTTGTACGTCATGAATGAATGATTACTCGCACCCATACCATACCATACGGATAGGAGCCATCGTGAACAATAGATTCAGTGCACTTTGGACTAATAAGCAAATAAATAACTTTCGCTATGATGGGAAACGAAAATAATACTAAACGGAACAACTAGCCCTGTGCTTTGCTGTGCTGAGCCGTGCCGTGATTGAAAAGCGAGAAAGGTGTACCCCACCACCGGATTACAGTCACAGTGACTTTCAGCCTCTTCGCTTATTGGTTTCAGCCAGGGCTTATCAGCCAGCTAAGAATATTTTTCTCTCACAACAAACCAGCACCAGCCGGACTAGACTTATCAGCTCAAAAACCACGCAGCAAACAGGTTGTCGGTCACAAACTCGTCGCGGTGACTTCCACGTCAGGATGCGATGCGATGCGAGAACCTGACGCCCACCACCGGTCACCGGAGTCGGACGGTTATGACAACAGGATAAGGAAGGTGCCCGGACCCAGGACGGAAGCAAGAAACTCAATCAGAAAGCAACTTTCCTCTTCCATCCATCCCCACACTACACTGGCCCTGACTGTGACCGTGACTCATCCACACCACACAAGGAGTCAAGTAGACCTTCTCCGAACCTGTTGCTGTGTTTCATCCTCAATTTCTGCCCCTTTCCACAATCACAAACGGAGAAAGATCCTACTAAAGGATGGCATGCCACCCATGTCCATAATTGGTTTTCAATTACATACACACACCCTGCCTCCCTCAACAAAACAAAACAATAATTAATTAATAAATAAATACTTCCCAATACTGTACTCTGAACTGCAGCCTTACTTACAGCTACTAGAGCCACGTCTATCTGCGTGCCACCTTGCACCATACCCAGTCACAAACCGCGCTGCTCTGCTTTGCTGCCCAGTCAAAATTGTGCCGCTATATATGGCCTTACCCGACGTTTGCCACAAAGGGCACCAGCCGCTTGTGATCCCTCTTGCGCCCAAGCGCGCAGGTATCAAGAACTCGCCCAAGCAGCAGCCGGGTGTTCTGCAGCGCTACATCCCGTGCCACCAACCCGCTATCTGCAGCGCTGCTGCTGCCACCGCCACCGCCTTGCCCCATCAAGGACCCAAACCCCGACCCCGCGGCATACTGCAGCGGTCCGCTCCTAGCCTTGAAAGACGACTGAGGAAGCAGCATGCTCTGGAGGACCTTCTCCACGGCCCCATGCCCATTCTCACCAAATCCAGCCTCCTCGCCTTGCCCGCCAGCCACGCCGCTGCAGCTCCGTAACAGCGCCTCCAGCACGTTCAGTGCCTCCGAGCATAATGTGCTCTCCACCAGCTGCGACACGACATTGTACACCTGGGGTATCTGGGACGGATCCACAGGGGTTTGCTGCAGCAGCGATTTAAGCATCAGAAGAATCACCCGCTGGTAATCCAGAGGGCCTCTCTCCAGGAGCCTCAGCAGGTGCCCAAAGGCCAAAGATGAGTGCTTAGGGAACCACTCTGCACAGATTGGTGGCGAAGCTCGTGCAAACAGATCTTCCAACGACATGATTTCCCCAAAGGAATATGCTCTGAACACTTCGGCCAAATCGTCCAGAAACTTGGCACGGCACCATACTGAGATATTGGATGCCACATAGTAAGCTTTCTGGTTCTGTTCTTGCAGTGGCGAAGCTGACCCGAGGGAAGGTACTTCACGTTCCCTCGTGAGCTGCAAACCAAGCCATGGAAGAAGGCCTGTGATGTGCATCAGTAACCTTGTCTCAGGGCTCCCAAATATAGAGTCACACGTAGGTATAGTGATCCTAGATAGCACCTCAATTGCAGATCCATGGCTAACAGTGGACATGAGCCCTTTCAGCACCAGCGGCTGCACCCCTTCAAAAGCAGGGACCTTCCCAGTCTCAGCCACAGATAACAGTCTCTCTGAAGTAGCTCTAGACTCCAGCCTGTGGAGGTCACTTGCATACCCATTGATGTCAAACTCATCACGCGGCATGCTTGAGAGTAACACATTTTCTGTTGTCCGGTCACGGAATGTCAAGCGATCAATTACCCTACAAAATAACTCAAGCACCTGGCAGTAGATGTGTACAAAGTCGGTGTGCATCAGTGCAACACAGCCCCAAAAGAGCTGTGGATAAAGTATAACCTTCTCAGGTTCCATGTTTTCAACCATGACCTGTAAAGTCAGCAATATCTCCATCACAAAACCTAGAACAGCTGGAACAGGATTCCCCAAGCATCTGTGGATGCATCTCAGAAGCAATACGCAGCTATCACTTTTAACACTGGGACGTAACGCACGGTATATCTGGTGCGACCGACAAGCCAGGTGACGAGATGTGCACTCCATGGCCCACTTAAGAGCTTCAGAACCCCAAGTCTCACGAAGGTCCCCCTGGAAGAAAATAGCACTAACCATGCTTTGCACAAGTGCCGATAAGAGTGAAGCGCTAGGAAGTTCGGTCCGGACAAGGGTAGGATCCTCGTTCTGCCACATCAGGCTGCCCCTTTTAGACTGAATGTATTTTATCAAGCTCACCACATGATGCTTATTCTCTCTTTCACTACTTTCAACCTCATACAGTTCAAGATGACGGCCAGCCAATGAATACAGGAGATTCACGAGCAAATCTTGGCAATGCTCGAGCACAATGTCTTCTGAGCTATCCATCGAAACACATGTGACGTGGAACAACAGAGGTAAATTTTCACGGAAGTCTTCATCATTTTCATAAGCAATTTCAGCCAGAAGAATCAAAGCTATGTCAGCACGTGAAAGCAAGTGTTGGTGCCCTTGTAATGCTGACTGGAGCTCATTGGCATTGATCCCGTGAATTCCACTGCCCCCTTGATGCAAAAAATCATCTGTTGAGTTTGGGGTATCAAAGTAGTAGTCACCACTATCTCTGGAAACATGGCGGCTCCTCAGATTACCAGCAGAGCTTCGAACACCCATCAACGGCCCTGACATATTCATTAACGCTGGAAGTAGCTGGCCTGATCGGCCTGCCGTTGGGTTTGGAATGCTTACCTCAGGAGCCAACGGGCTCAGTGGGCCAGATACACTTCGGCCGGTAACTGCAGATGTCCGCCAGCTCAGGTTTCCACTGACATTTCTAACTGCACCATCAAGGGAACCACGAACAAGAAGGGGGGACATGTGAGGCTGGCTATCGACGACTGTTGCAACCTGAGAGGCAGTAGGCCCTTGAGAAAACTCCAATACGACATTTGCAGAGATATCAACTTTCCCAGGCCTGACTGGTTCTTCATTGTCCTCGAGCATTCTCTGAGATAGCTCGCAGACCAAGTGATCAATGGTCTGTTGTGGGCAGATCCGAGCAAGATATAGGCTAACACGCTTCGCAACAGAAAAATAAGTAGCAAATGCACCAGTGATCTCTGCCGATGGATTGGCATCGCAGTCCTCAATCCCTCTGGTGATCAAGAAGTTCAAAACTGGGATGATATTGCGAGTATTGCTTGCCACAGTGCTCCAAAGTTTCTCAATCTCATCAGGAAACTGATCACCATGTTTCCATGTCACATAATAAAGACTTTTCAGTAACCTCTCACTCCAGCCAGATTCCTTCAGTCTCACAAAGTTGAGATTTTCTATCCAAGGAGCCATGCATGTAAGGACCTGATGTTGTGCAATAATGTCCACTGCATCAAGCTGACGCTGCATTATTTCCTCACACAGATGCTCACTGAGCTCAGGATGGTCCTTGGCAAGCTTTGAGGACAACTTATACTGGAATTGTTGGTAGGAATCCGGGAGGTTGCCAACAACAGAAGCCCGGTAATGCCCAACACCATCAGTATCGTCTTCAGCCCATTCGCGAAGAGAGAGTGTCTCCAACATCTGGAG